TTAAGCTAAATCTATTTCCTCTGATCAAAACAATAGAATCTAAGATCTATTTCTGGATTGTGAAGATATTACACAGTTCAAAGTACCCAAAACCTAAGGGTTAATCTAGTCAGACTCTCAGTCACCTGGCCAAGAGACTGTAACCCAGGAATGTTGATTCATCTAAAGCCATGCTAAAAAAAGATGGGAGGAATAAGTACCACTTTAATGAGATAATTGTTCTTTTCCTTTCCAGAAACCCATTTTACATTTGGTGAAATCAGCCTTGACTTTCCCCTTTTAGCCTTATGTTATGCTTTCTCTTTGTCCTGACTTGTTTCTTTTTTATACCCTCCATATCATAGACATGCTGCCTTGGATATTTGTACTTTCTTATTTGTCTCTGAAGCAATTTCCTTCTCTTCCCTTCTACCATGTGGCTGCTTATAATTTTAATGGTTTTCTCTCTTCCCTGTCTCCATCTTCCTCCTCTGGAAACTGCTGAGACTTATAGCTGTCCTATATTTTTTCTTTTAAACTAATAAACTTGTTGTAAATTCATTTTGAGTGCATTTTAAATTATTTTATTAATAAGATTAAGTACCCTGAGAAGAAACCTCAGTTTCCTTGGTACCATGCAACATTCTAAGTTGTACTTTCCAAAATTTCTGGTAAGAAACAGCACGAACCAGTATTGGGTATTGCTTTCTATGTTATCATGGAGATTACAAACTCCAGGAGTTTAAGGTGAGTCATATGCTGACCAAATCTCAGGTTTGCAGATATATTATCTGTTGCCTTGGCCATGCAAACAGTGGCCATTAGAATAGAAGACAGTTAGAAGAGAAAGGCACAAGGAATTTAAAATGACTTTTAAGTGATACAGTTCCTAACTTTAAAAGGGCTGGGAATCTACTCCAGGATCAGTATCATTCTGCAAGTTTCTAGTGAGCACCCAGGTGGCATATGGTTATCTTCCCAAACCATAGCCAGTTCATGGCTCTTTAGTTCCTTCCCACTTTTCTTCAAGACTGAGTATGATACTGACTTCAGTGGCCAAGAGTGATCAAAAGAAGAAACAGAGAATGACCCAGCATTTGTAGAGAATAATAAAAACTACATTAGAAATGTTTAAGATGGTATGATTGTTGATGGCTGTTATACACGACAAGGACTAAAACAGCAGGAGATGGGGCAGTCATATATGATCTAAGAGGCTACTTATACTCATTCTGGTTCTTCACAGAAAACCACCCCCTCTGATCCTGACAAAAGTTCATACCTCTTACCACCATCCTACCCTGAAAAAAAAAAAAAAAAAAAAAAAAAACACCCTAGTGATGTGACCGTAACTCACAATATACTGAACCTTTAAGAGAGAGAGCTGAATACATTAGGTTTGGAATTGTTTCATATCAGACTTTCAAACACTTCATAAGGTTATTAGGGACATAGTTCAGTATGGATTTATCTTATAGGTTCCTTTGGTTCCTTTTAGCACATTTCAGGGCTCAGATACTTGTCACAGCAGCCATTGTATCTCCGACGGTGACATCTTTGCCTCATTTTCCTAAGTGTATACAAAGTAATGTGATTTTTCAAAGTATACAGTGGAGGGTGCCCATTTCTGACCAACTCTGCATTACCTAAGGGAGAAAATAACATTATGGGGTTTTAGTCAATAAATGCATGCAGGGATCAAGTTGAAAGGAAAGGGGAAAAGGAAGAAGAGATGGAGAGGAGAAAGGGTGGAGAAAAAAAATGTGAGGGTAATAGAGGAACAATTATTTCCTGAGCATGAAGCCACTCCGAAGAGATCATGAGCTGCAAATTAAACAATTCTTCAGCAAGAATTTTGACAAGGAAATTTCATTAGGGATTTAAATCTCAATGGAAGCTCAAGTTGCTGCATTAAGATATGAAAATTGTGCAAATATTGTTCCTTAGAATGATGTTTGCCGCAGGTCATTGAGTTTCAGTCAATGAAATTTAGAGTGATAAATGTCCTGTTGAAAATAGCTAGCAGAGGAAAGGCTCCAGGAGAGAGAGAAAAGAGCCAGCAGTTGGAAGCTTAGACCCTAGAGTCATTTGGAAGAGAAGTGAGACTCCAGTGTTAACTGGCCATGTGACCTTGAGTTAGTGTATTTTGCATCTCTGCAGTCTAATTTCCACATACATAAAATGTGAACAATTTCCAGTGTGCTCCCCACTAGTCTGTGACTGTGAAGATTTAATGAAATAATCCAGTGGAAGCCCTTCAGCACAGACCCTGGCATGTAGAACATCTAACAGCATACTCCTATGATGACAATACAATGGAGTGAGCTAAAATATACCCGGCAGTGACTTTCTCCATCTCTGTGTTATACTAAAATCTACCACCATTGCCTTCACTCAGAAGAGAATTGTGAGACTTGGAAACTGAATATATGTGCCATGGTTTAAGGTGTATCCCAAACCCATCTCAGTGTTTATGTGTAAGCATGATATTTTCCATTATTAGTTGGTAGGGTGCTCAGAGCTAAAATCACATTGTATTATCATAATCTGTCTGATTAACAATTTGGTGTTTTCTTCAAAAGGGCTAGTGGAATGAATTAATGAGCTCATAAATAAATGTATACATGGATGAATATATGATATAATATATGACTCAGGGATTCATTTATAGATTCTTAATATGTAGGAATACTTCATTTTGATTTCAAGGAATATTAGCATTTTGACTCTTAAGAAAATTTTCTTTTTACTGAATCTTTGACTAACAGGAAAACAAGTTCACATAATTTCATAACCCTAAATCCTGAAAGGACACCCTCTTGAGCAAAGCTATATTTTTTATTTCTAACTATATATCAAAGAATGTTCATTTTGCAGCCCTACATAATTAATTTTCTTTCATGATGTCACATGATATAAACATTTCAGGCATTTGTTATTCTTGTAGATAATAAAGTATGAAATGTTTCAAAGACAAAAATGTTGTATGTAGTTCCTAATATTTCCTTTCCCACCATTGCTGTGGGAAATAATCTTATGCACCTTAATCTTAGCTATGAATGTTCACAGGGAATTTTTTTTTCCCTTGGAGAAACACATAGTTACTGGTATGGGTCACACATTCTCAACACCCATACTGATAGATGAAAATTTGCCTTTGCAATTTGAAATTGTCTGTCATTATCCTCATTGAATTAAATTTCTGAGTCCAACTGAATCACAAAATTTGATTAGGTGTTTTAAAGAGCAATTATTTTACCCACTTTGTATAATCTACAATGCCTTGTCTAGAATTTTGTTCTTGATAAACATTTTACCACCACATATAAAGTTTTGCTTTTTAAGGAAGAAGTGGCTGGTGAAATATACAGCTCAGTGAGTAAAAGCACTTGCCACAGAGCCTGACCACCTAATATCACACCCCCCCTCCAGGACTAGCATGTTCTATCTGACTTCCTCAGGTTTCCCTGTGACCCCCATGTGTACACCATGACATGCATGTGTGTTCTTAAATACATGCACACGCATGTACTTACACACTCACAGAGAGAGAAAGCGGGGCGGGAAAGGGAAAAGTATAAACTTAATTTGCAAACAAAACAGAAAGAGGGAAAGAGAATGAAGAATAAATGCAAACTAGACATTTTAGGAAATAGCTTTGTGGGGAGAGGAGAAAGCAAATCATCAAAATCATCAAGTTTTTTTTTGTTTGTTTGTTTATGTGTTTTTGTGTGGTTTTTTGGTTGTTGTTGTTTTGTTAAATTGAGCTTCAGATACCAGCTCAACAAGTCACCACAACTACAAAATGAAGAAAGCACAAAGTGGCCCACGAACATAGTGATGTTTTGATAATTTCAAAGGAAGGATACTACATCTTTCACAGAACAGAGACCTGGATAGGTTGTTTGCCTTTAACAACCTTCCCACTCGTCAAGGGAAGGTAAGTTTGTAAATGATGTCAAGACAAATGCCTTGTCAAGACAAAACACATTTAAATGAAATTAAAGAAATAAATCCCTTCTTTAAATAAGCTTGCATGCTCCAAAATAATTTGGCTAGAATTTTATGGAAAAATTGATACATATATTGTGAAAAGATGTTGAAGACAGCCAGACATCTACTTTGTATTATAAGACACAGGTGACTAAGAAGCTATAATCCATACAAAATACTTTCTAAATCTTCATGGAGCATGTTAAATATGTATAAAACCACAACATTGCCTATACAGTTTAGAAAAGTATGTCAGTATTCTCATTGAACTCAATTTCTAAGTCCATCAAAATCTTTCATCTTCAGTGATGATTAAATTGTAGCAACCATTGAAAGAGCAAAGTATTTATCACATCCAAAGCAAAATATTTACTTTTAACCAGAACTGTCATTTTCACATAGTCACCTTTAAATTCATATACTAGCTGAAACTAATAACCAATAGTATTTGAGCTTGTAAAAAATAATCTTTCATAAAGAAAAATAATAATTTCAATAGTTTCATAATTCCTGATAAGAAAGTAGTGTTGTCAGACTGAAGCTGGGCTTTTACAGTTTGTTTGAAAACATCTTAAGTAATTTCGCACACATATTTTATTATTTCAGGAAAGTAAATGTTAATAAGTTCCCCATTATCACAAATTACCAGACACAGTCTCAGAAGCAATATGAAAACGTAGTTTCATTGCATTCCGTAGAGTATAATGAACTATTTCTCTATATCCTTCTTTGTGCAACGGAGTGATACTAGGAGTCAGACTGTGTAGTTAAGGCAAGGAGTTGCCTGCAGTTATTTCCCAGCAGAGGGGCAGGGTGGCATTAAACCCAAGGCTAAATGTCACATGGGAGAGGAACTAGACTGAGTTAATCCTGGTTGTGCTTTGAACATGGACGCCTCCCCCCATTTTCTATCTTTGGCAGCTTTCAGAGACCCAGGAGTGAAATACAACCTTCAGCCAAGTTAAGACCTGCACTCAGGCAAGACGGCCTACACATCCCATTACAGAGAAGAAAAAGGCTTGACCTACTTGGATCCGATAAGATGGAGTCTGTTTTCGGCAGAAATTGATCACAACGGACTCCTTGGTAGCCTTCCTTGCACCTGAGAAAAGGGGATAAATGACAAATATATGCATGTGGTTGTGAAAGAGTTGAGATTTCATCAAGCAGATTCAGCATTCACAGTGAATTGTGAATGGTATACTTAGCCTTTTGTATTTGATTCAGCCTGTCTCCAATATTTATGGGCAGATTATAGATTCCACTTTTGTTCAAAACAAACAAATAAACAAAAACACCCAGAATAACATGGCTTTGCAGATATAGCTGTAAACACAATATCCTAAGAGCAAATCCACCAGCATCTCAAATGGTCCTCTCAGCAGTGTGGATAGTGGTTATCTTGTTATCCTATATGGCTGGCACCAGGTGCATGTTTCTTTATTCAATACTCTGGTTTCCAAATGTGTTCAGAAACATTTTGCAAGCACCATTTTTCTTACAAGGCACATTTTCTAATATTACACATCACCTACATATTTAGGTTTACTATATTTTTCCTTGTGTTTTATTGCTTTGCTCCTTTGCTGATTTCACTATTTTTTTTTTTTTTTTTTTAAATTCACTCCTTGGCTCTTGCCTGCCAGAGTTTCTTCCTTTCCAGAAATATCAGCATATCACCTGGCAGGGTCTGAGAGGCATCGGAGTCCCCCTGTTTGCTCCTTTATGTTCAGAAAATACATGCCAAGTGCCTGGTCTCTACCACGCACTGTACAGGGCAAGATCCTGAATGAGTATGATGCTGAAGTTAGGAACATCCTGGAAGCTGTAGTAACGAGGCACACCCAAACCCTTAGTCCTACTTGTTCTGCTTGGTTCAATCTATCATAGCTGCTTGACCAACAACCACAACACATCTACAGCTAGGTCTAGCTAATGTAACTCAGGCTCTAAATACTGCCTGGGGAAGGTCTTTTAAATGGGAAGGTAGTATTTACTGTTCTTCATAAAGCTTAATCCGTCATGCTTGAGCTAAGCAGAGAAGTCACCATTGTCACCTGTTGGATGAATCCCTCATAGTTACAGAAGGAAATAATTGGACTGCTGACATGAAAATCAGGTTTGAAAAATCAGGTCTGCTTGTTAGAAATCTATGAAATTGACACGTATTCAAAAACACAGTCCCAATGCACTGGCCAAGAGGGCTGTGAATTCTTCCTGAGAGTATGCTTTGTTTCCTAAGTGTGAGGAAGCATTAGATGAGGCTTAGTGCGACAAAAACAGTAACTTCGAAAGCACTGAAGTCCTTTTTCTGCCTTTCATTTTGAGCTAAATCGGACAGGCTCTCTTTAATACCTTTTTAAAAGATGGCATTCTCAAATGTATTTGGTGGTTTTTCCCCATAGTCTGAGAACAAATAATTGTACTATGTGTGTACAGATATCCCAGAAATCGCAGATGCCTATGGATTCATTTGTGCAAACTCTTATCTTCACTGCTTTAAAATAAAATAAAAAAACCATATATCGTTCTTGAAATAAAATAGGTAAGTGCTTGGTGTTCTAATGGTGCAAAGTCAGGTAGACAATGCTTAGAGCTGAAACCTATTTGTAATAAATAAGTTGTGTGTTCTGAGAACTGCCCTGGGTGTGACATTTGTGCTCCTCTACAATTAGCAGTGTCAAGGTGCTGCAATCCTCATTTCCCTGTGACTGTGAGCCTTGCCCTGTGTATGTGTTATCAAACACTTATACTTTCAAAGGATGTTATTTCCAGCCCATGCTGGAAAGTTTTTAAGTACCCTTTAACTATTTGTATGTTTACCATGGAAATGGCATCCTAGGAGGGGAGATGACAGCTTTTAAAAGGAAGAAAGGAAGTGCCTTTTCGTTTGCTTTTTTTTTTTTCTTGCACTTTGCTTAGCTTTTTAAAGGTTCATTGTTACTGAAAACACATTGTTCCATTTGTGTGTGGAAAACAAAATAAAGAAAGACTTTGCAATTTTTCCAGTCTTAAACTGATTGACCAACAATCAGAGCCCACCATAGAGTTTAGGCCTCAGGGGGCATTGGCAATATCATAATGTGGGTCTTTTTCAGCTGCCTTCACACCTGTGGGCTACAGATAATAGAGCCTGATGGTGGTGTAGCAACCATGCTCAGGCTAGGGAGCCCAGCACAGACTGATGCCACAGCAACATACACAGCCACAGCAAGCCTTTCTCTGTTGGGAACGATGCAAAAGCCACTACTAATTGGTGCTAGGGCTTGAAAAAAAACAACACATAAATTTCTCATTTAAAAATCACACATACATCACCTCCATACGCTCAGATGCATTCAAACATGAAGATGGAATGCTGTTAGCACAGGCTGCTGATGAAGTCGTTTGGATCTATGACAATATTGAAGTGTTGGTGTCTGGGGCAGGGGAGCATTTCCAAAAGCATGTCTATTGCCCAAATGACTCTAGTGGACCATCTCTTGTGGTGGTAATTGACAAATTCTGTGTGGTTTGCTTCCGTTTCAGTTAGTTTGGAAGATGCCAAGAGTTACCATTTTCTTTTTTGAAAAATAAAGTGTAAAGAACAAGAAAGGCATTTATACACCAGAATATTGGTTTCCTCTTAAAATGTTAGATTGAAAAGTACCTGGATAGTTTAATGGCAAATATGGCTTTCTTTGGAAAAGCACAAATCATGCCTTAGGTGAGTTAGTAATCTGTTCACTTTCTTCTCTGCTTTTCTCTGAATGTTCACTCAGTACATCCATTCTCTGTATTTCTTTGTCTTTTAGAAGCTTGCCTCATAGCCATCTTTTTTAAAAACACAATATTGTCTGGTCATTTCACAGACAAGTTTTGATCCTGCATACTCAGGCAGGAAACAGCAAGGGTTGACAAAAGGTTGCATGAGAAAAATGAAAGAATTACTGCCAACTGTGAAATAACCACAAAACAAAGTTGGTTTGCAAGAGCAAAATTAGCCTCAAATTCCCTGTGTCTACTCTGAGCTGAAGGAGTTGTCTCTTTAGAAACTGTGGCTTCTTAAGATGCATTCTGCTTTATTTTCAAATATAAATGGCCATAAGGAGGAGAATCATTAAGGTGGCATCTGAAGCCAAGTAGGGGAGGTGAAAAGACATAGCTGCAACTATGATTGTTCTTTTGAATAAGAGAAACTGGCCACCGGAATCTGTGGAGAGGGAGTAGGGAGAAGGATGGGTACTTTGCAAACCTAGCTCCAGTATCTGCCAGATCTAGCCAATGATGGGTCTAGGTACCATTACACTCATGTCTCCAGACATGTACACATGCCTACTCTTCTTCATGTCCTCTCCGATTTGCCTTTATTTCTCTTCTCACATGTCCAGTTTCATCTGAAATAATAGGAATCCTTAAGAATCATTTTTCCTCTCCTCTTCCCCCCAAGAAAAAGCCCAGTTGCTGGTTAGTAAAAAAAAAAAAAAAAAAAAAAAAAAAACAAAGCAAAAAGTAACCAAAGGAAGAAACCATGGATACATTATCTTTGGCTAGAATTCAATACTTCCAATACTTGTTTTATCTGGCATGGCGAAACAGAATGGTCAATACATCAAGACTGCCAAAGGAGAGAGTTTTAAGTATTCCAGTTGGCATACTTTCACTGTCCCATGAATGTCTTTCCAGTATAGTAAATAGCAATGAATTCAAAGACTCAGTTTGCTAAGGGGCCAAGGAATAAATGATGGTTAAGTGTTTAGCTCTAAATGGGACATGTATAATACCCCCTCTAAATCTCAAGGAACAACCCAGAAACAGGAGCAGAAAGACTAAGAGCAAGATGATAGGGAGAAGGATAGTGGAGTACTGGCTTCAGAGCCTGACACAAACAATGCAGAGTGATTTTATAGTAGCTGATGCTACTCCCTGCACTGGGCCAGAACAAGACTGGTTTTGTCAACAGGCAGTGATGGATCATGAAGCAGATCACCAGGCCTATACCTCACTGAGGAACTATTAGTTGTTAATTGACTCCTGAGGAGAAACAGTAACCAGCTTCAGTTGTACACCAAAGGTAATACCATTTGGCTCCAATGATTAGTTCCAAACCCATAGTCACAAAACTGGTCCTGGTTATAATCAGTTGAAAATAAAACAAAAAGGCACATGAATGTGGAGAAAAAACTCTCATAGCAGTTGGAGGATGGATAATGGAGAAGGAGGGGGATAACAGAGTAGTGGGTTAGAATAAATAGAATGTACTATATACACTTACAAAATTGACATAAACGTTTACATGATAAAAAAGTTTTGGTTATGTGTTTATGTTCCTATCATCTTTGATTGGTTTAAGGCAATTCTTGCAGTTATCTACCCAACTTCTAACATCATTTTCATTTCAATTGTTACAGTTCTCATGAGAGAGTTTGATCAAAGGATTCTAGTGAGTTACTATGGGTAAAAGCTGAAGAATCCCCAGGTGTCATTAAAAGGTATCTAATGCTTCCAGAGTTTTAATTTCAACATCTTGATAAAATGATATAATTTAACATAAGATGCCTATTAGGTGAAATAGACTTTCACTTTCTTTTCCTCCTTAATTTTCTCATTTCTTGTAGAAGATGTTGTTGTTCACCTGACCTGTAACCTCATTATTCTCTGTCTTTATTTTAATATATGACCTGATTACATGTATGGATGATCTATCCAGTGCATTGTCTTCACAACCCATCTTCCCCATTAATATCATAATTAGTAAAAAGTTAAATTTCTATCCTGAGGTTTCATTTAGGGTTTTTTTCTTTTTTGGTGAGTTTTGTTTGTTTGTTTTGTTTTTTGCTTTTCAATACAGGGTTTCTCTGTGTAACATTCTTGTCTGTCCTGGAACTCCCTTTGTAGATCAGGCTGGATTTGAACTCACAGAACTCTGACAGCCTCTTCCTCCTGAGTGCTGAGATCAAAGGCATGGGCCACCACACCCAGCTCTTTTCACTTAGCTTTTCTCTGTATATATTTTATATCAATATTTCTAGTGTCTTTTCTTATTTTACAAATTTCAGCTCAAGCAACATAAAATAAGCATAATATTAGTACAGAAAAAAATAAAATATAGAGTTCATATAC